TCATACACATGTTGTCTCATGACATTGACTACAGTTTATCCCAATGCAACAGCTCCCCTCCCATTTCCTCCCAATAGTTACCTCTTCCCTGTGCCCATCCCTCCATGCCCTCCTGCCCCCTGAGCTGTCTCCCTGTGCATAAGCAGCCCTTCTTTCTCCCAGGATTGTTCTCTCCAAGGGATGTATCTACTTCAGGTACCTGTTCAACCCTTATGCCTGTCTTTTATTTGGCTGGAAGCCACAGGTGTGGGTTCAATTCCAGCCCAGAAGGGCAGCTAGGGACCATAGGCTCAGTGGTTCCACCAGGTTCTATCAGACCAGCAAACCTGGTCTCGTTGTTTTTCTTTTTCTCCAAATGATTTTGAGTTTTTTTCCACATTGTTCTCCCTGTCTATCCAGGATCTCCTACACAGACCCCCCTCCGAGTGGTTGACAGTGGTAGCCGGCCACCATCTAGTTCTTCTGGTCTCATAGTCATATAGGCTGCAGATTGCGTGGTGTTGTAGATAAACTTTTACACATGAAAAAAGAAAATATCTTCACCTTGATGAAAAAAAAATAGGTGAAAGACACATATGGGAAGTTCTCAAAGGAAAATACAATTGAAAACCAAACTCACTGCCACTGAGTTGATTTTGACCTATAGTGACCCCTATTGGGTTTCCAAGGTAGTGAAGCTTTACAGAAGTAGATTGCCCCATCTTCTTTCCATGGAGTGGCTAGTGGGTTTGAACTGCCAGCCTTCTGTATAGCAGTCAAATGCCTTAGACATTACACCACCAGAGCTCCTTGAAGTTACAGATAGTCACTAAACAGAAAGGTACTCAGTTATCAGAGGCAAGGAAATGACAAGATGCTCTTTTTCCCTAAGATATTGTCAGAGATTGGTAACCTGGCAATATTCACTGACAGGGTGAGGACAGGCCAGGGTGCTGTGCCTGAAGCAGGTGGGCGGCTCAGGATGCTGGGGGCTTTGGAAGAGCTCTTAAAGTAAGCACTGAGGAGCTCTGGTGCTGTAGTGGGTAAGCCATTTGGCTGCTAACCAGAAGATCAGCAGTTCAAACCCACCAGCTGCTCTGTGGAAGGAAGATGTGGCAGTCTACTTCCATAAAGATGTGTAGCCTTGGAAACCTGCTGGGGCTTGCTATGAGTCAGAGTTGACTTGATGGCAGTGAGTTTAGTTTTGGTTTAGGGGAGACACAGGTGGGTTGTGGGGCCATAGAGGCCACAGGGAGGAGGCTGGCGTTCGTGGCAGCTGCTCCCAGTGTGAGGGTCTGGGACTCAGCCACACAGACCACCCACATCACTGCTGCCTTGTAGATCTTGGAGCCGGGGCGTCGGGAACGGCTGGGGCTGAAGATGGCCAACGAGGCTGCCGCCAAGAACCGGGCCAAGAAGCAGGAGGCCTTGCGCAGAGTCACGGAGAACCTGGCCAGGTAAGCGGTGGTCCGGCGGCATGGGGGTGGACACACTCTGTCCGCACCAGACTCTGCCTCAGCCCTGGAGTGTGGATGCGCGGCCTGCAGGCCCTGGGGCTCTGGGCCAGTCTCGTGGCAGCTCCCGTGACTTAGAGCATGGCCCTTTGCCATCTTTCTTCCCACTGGGAAGTCATATTGCTCTGTAAAGGCGGGTGTTGTGAGTCCCGGCAAGCTCCTGGTGGGGCCAAGCCTTGGAGAAGTCTGGGGTTCCACCCCAGCCACCCAGCTAAGGGCAGCAGTGTCTCACCTCAATCTGACCTCAGTGGTGTGCCAGGCTCTGACACCACTCTGTCCGGTGTCCTCTGTCTTGGTCCACAGTAACTGTGTACTTCCCAAGGGGCAACCCTGACGGTGGGGTACCTGGCCCAGGCTAATCCTGTCTCTCACTTATCCCCCTGCCCCAGCCTTACTCCCAAAGGCCTCAGTCCAGCCATGTCCCCAGCCCTGCAGCGCCTTGTGAGCAGGACAGCCAGCAAGTACACAGACCGGGCCCTGCGGGCCAGCTACACACCATCGCCAGCACGCTCGACCCACCTCAAGACCCCAGCTGGCGGGCCGCAGACCCCCACAAGCACCCCGGCGCCTGGCTCTGCTACCCACACCCCTCTCCTCCAGGACCCGGCCTCCATCACAGACAACCTGCTGCAATTGCCTGCCCGGCGCAAGGCCTCCGACTTCTTTTAGGAGGGCCAGGCTGGGCTGGGCTACTGGGCCTGGCTGGAGCCCACTGTCGGCAGCTGCCCAGCCCCCGACGGCTCTGGTCTGCTGGGGGCCCCGCCCCAGGGCCCGGGCAGCTGACAGAGGACAGGTGCAGTGCTGCGGCCGGCCCCAGCACGGGACACCCTGCGCCCCCAGGACACCTTGGTACTGTTTTCTATTTCAATCCATCTCTGCTATCATTAAAGAACAACTGGTACAGTCTGGCAGGGCCACCTTTCCATCCGGCCTGCACTGGGTCTCAGGCCTGTGGGGTGCCCAGAGAGGAAGCTGCGGGGGGTGGCCACTGGAGGCCCAGGGTGGCTGAGGGTGACACGGCATCTGGTAGCGTCTGGGGCCTGTAACATGCCTGTGACCTGTGCTCACAGCGTGCCTGTCCTTTGTGCTTCCCGCCATTTTGGAGGAAGGACGGAGACCCGTGGAGGGTGTGCCCCTTTGGCTAGTCTGGAGCTCGGCCAGGGCCACACCCTCCCCGTCCGGCCTGACCAGGACCTCACTCAACAGGAGCAGCCTCGTCTGTGCCTTCAGCCATCGTTTGCCCCAAACACCTGGCTGAAGAAGGGTGGAGCTGTCTCCATCCTCTTGGCCTGCCCCCCACGCACTGGGCACTGCCCACTATATGTCACAGTCACTAGCCTCTTCCTACTGTAACCCTCAGCCGGAGCCCCCAGATGTCAGTCACCTGCGCCTCGACATGCAAAGGCATGGGCCAGGCTCCCCGCAGATCCGGGAGGGCTGAGTGTGCCCTGGTCCGTGCGTACCTGGGAGCGTGAAGGTGTCGGGGCCTGAGCCACGACGAATCTGTTGCCCTGGGCTGGTGAGCCTGCTCTGCAGCCAAGGATCCCTGTGGATCAGGTCATGCCTCCTGGGCAAGGGGGTTCCAGAGCTCAGGGAGGCACACCGGGGAGTCTGCTCCGGCTGGGTGGTCCCCCAGCCTGCACTTGGCAGCCGGCCCAGCGCCTCCGTCCGTCCGTCCTCTGTCCCACAAATGCATCTTGCTGTTCTCTGCCAGGCCCCAGACTAGACACCTGCTGCCTGGGGCAGTGCTGACCCATGCTCCTGACAGTGAGTCCGGCAAGCTCCTGGGGGTGCCAAGCCCTCATTGTGCTCTGGTGCCACCAAGGGGGATAAGGTAGAGCATATGGCTACGCAGGGGTCGAGAAGGTGAGACTCTTGGTGCATGTCCCCCATAGGAAAGGGTGGGTTTTGGCCCCAGGCAGCCCCTGGGAAGTGGGGAGGCAGAGGTCTGAGTGGCTTTGAGTCAGATGGAGAAAGAGGTGCTCTCCAGGCAAGGCCCCTTGAAAGGCAGGAATTGAAGCAGTTGGCTAGTGTGGGGTGTGTGCTAGAGTTGTGTGGGGAACAAAGAGGCAAGCACAAAAACCGGCCTGCAGCCCATCGGCAAGGCCTGGAGTGGGCTGTGACGGGCAGAGCAGGGAAGACAGCGCTCATGGCAAGGGAGAGGTTAGGGAGGGCGGAGAGGACCGGTCTCAGGGCTCGGGGGAGAGGTGGACACTGGACAAGGACTGGCTGAGGGTGTGTGGGGCGGTTAGAGTGGGCTGCACGGCGTCTGAGGTAGTGGCCAGACATGGCCCCAGCCCAGCTGTGGTAGTAAAGTATGTCAGCTTGGCTGGGCCTGGTTGAATGGCTGGGCAGCTGGATGTAGTATTCCCCATGATGAGACTGGTCATCAACTCCATGGTGGAATCTACTGTGAGCAGCTGAGTAGCTGCCTTTGGGTACATGGTCTGCTTTCCATATATAAGAAACAGCTTTGGGAACGGTCTCTAGCTTATGGCACACTTGGACCCTACATGTAGCTGTGTCGTTCAGCAGCCTGCCATGCTCTGCCGACCTTTGGACTTGTGATGGACTTGAATGAATGGCCTGCTGTGTGGTTTGGTAACATCAGGACTGTTGTCATTTTATTTGTCAACCTTGGGCTTGTCAGCCTCAGCAGCCAGTAGCTGCCTGAGTGAAGAGATGTGTCTAGCTCCAGTGGGCCGGGAGCAAAAGACAGAGCTGAAGCCCAAGGTTGAAGGGCTTTCACCCAACCCCTAGAGCCTGGCACTTGAAACTTGGACATGTAACCTCCCAAACTGTAAGAGGATAGCTCCTGTTTTTTAAGGCCATCCCATTGGTGGTATATTCCTGTCAGAGGGACACAGGTGTTGGGCCCGCCATGCCCGTGGGCTCATGAAGTCTCTCTGTGCCCAGGCACCAGTCCCAGGATCCTTGCACAGGAAACCCCCGCACACAGAGGGGGCCTGGCTGAGTCCTAGAGAAAAAGACTGTCCCGGGCAGTGTTGCAGCTTGTATACACTCTGTGGTTTATTTGGCGGTCTGTCGTTAACGTCTTCGCTACCGAGTGGAAGAAAGCTAACGGAACGTAATCAAAATAGTGGTTTAATTGACGGATTTTACTTGTTCCTTACATCTGTGCCTTCCTCGGCCTCTACCTGGCTGCTTAGCTTCCGTGAATGCCAACCAGTGACCATGCCACCCGGGGCCCTCACCACCGCTAGATGCTCGCTTTCCCCACCTCGGCTCCGGATGGGTGGTGGTCCTTGGCTCTGGAGGTCTCGGCCAGCCTGTCCTCCGCTCTGCTGTCCTCGTTCTCGGGCACCACCAGCAGCCGGTGCTGGGTTTTGGCCCCGAGCTTGTGGTCAGGCCGGTGGTCGGGCCGTGAGCCCGGCTGGGTGTCCAGTTTGCACTCCGCCCGGTACTTGCCTTCACCCTCCCTCTTGAAGGAACTGGACGACATGGCTTTGGGCTTGGGGGGCTGCAGCCAGGTGTGGCTGAGGATCTCATCGATGTGCAGCCGCCGGTTGACGTCCGGCTGCAGCATGCGGTAGATGAGATCCTTGCACTCGCCCGTCAGGTGCTTGGAGCGCGGGAAGTTGACGCGGTGCTCCTTCTGGACACGCAGCATCTTCTTGATGTCGGAGTCGTCGTACGGCATGGAGCCACACACCATGATGTAGAGGATCACGCCCAGGCTCCAGATGTCGTACACCTTGGGCTGGTAGGGGATGCCCTGCAGCACCTCCGGGGCCGCGTACGCCGCCGACCCGCAGAAGGTCTTGCTCAGAACGACGCGGCCACTGTCGTCACGCAGACAGCGCTTGGAGAAGCCAAAGTCGGACAGCTTGATGTTGAAGTCCTTGTCGAGGAGCAGGTTCTCGCACTTGAGGTCTCGGTGGACGACGTCCAGGTCGTGGCAGTACTTGACGGCCGAGGAGAGCTGCCGGAACATCTTGCGCGCCACGTCCTCGTGCAGGGCCCCCCGGCACTTAATGAACTCGAGCAGGTCGCCCTGGACCCCGAGCTCCATGACAATGTAGATCCGCCCGTCGGAAGTCTCAAAGATCTCGTAGGTCTTGATGATGGAGCGGTGGTTGACGGTTGCCAGGATGTCCATCTCCCGGGGCAGGAACCGCTCCACGAAGTCGGTGGGTGTTTTCTTGCGGTCGATGATCTTGACTGCCACGTTGAACTTGAGGCGCTCAGAGTAGGCGGACTTGACCTTGGCATAGGAGCCCTTGCCCAGGTTGATGCCCACGATGTAACCCTTCTTCCTTAGGACCGCGGCATCGTCCATGGTGCCAGGAGCCGCCGGCGCCGCTCCCGTCTACATGCCCGCTCCCCGCGGGCCAGCGGGCATTGTCATCCTTCACACTGTGGGGAGTGCCTCGGGTGGGCTGGGCTTGGCATTGGAGGGGTGGGATGCCCAGCATTGTCCCTGGGTGACTTCAGCGTATGAAGTCATAAAGCCAGGCTGCTGGGAGTGGGGACTGGGGTGGCCTGAATGTGGCCCTGAGAACACAGGAAGCCAGGCTGGCCTGCTGAGAGTGCCTGCTGCCTGCCTGTGAGGAGGAAGCTGTCACCCAGGACTGGGGGGACCTTCCTCGCCTCTCCTTTGCTGTGGCTATCTGGCTGGAGTGGACAGTACAAGGAAGGCCATCTGTGAAGGCCAAGTCGACACTCCTGGCTGTGTGGCTGTGCTGCACTGGGCCTCGGCTCCGCAGGCATGGTCCCCAGCGGCTGCTTTGGGGTGTGACGAAAAGCCTCATTGGCGTCCTGAGAGCCAGCGCTGCTGAGAGGGGCATCTCCCAGCCCGGTGGCTGAGAGCAGAGCTGTGTTTGAGAGCAGGACCTGCAGCTTTTCCAGGTTGGAAGGCCGGCAGGTGAACGGCTGCTTCGTTGAGCAGGGCGGTGAGAGTGGGTGGGAGGACGGGCAGGGTACATCGTGGCCTGTGGCCCGGGCAGGCCGGGGAGGGTTCCCAGGGTGGGGCCAGCTGAGGATGGGCAGGGCTTTGGTAGCCCAATGGCCGTGGTGAGTGGAAGAGAGGATGAGTCGGGGGCACTTTGGGGAGGGCTTCTTTCCTAGGTAGTATGCAGCTGTCGCGTGGTGTGGGACGGGAGGAGCCACAACCGAACCCCCATTTTGCGCTGGTCCCTGGCAGCAGTGTAGAAAGCATACTTGCAGGCTGGTGCCTTTAACAGGTAAGAGGTGATGAGGCCACCAGGGGCTTCCTGGCTGGTGAGTGGGCAGGGCCCAGGTGTGGGTGAGAGAGGGCCCTGAACTCTTGTCACTCTGGGCTTTCTTGAAGAGTGGGTGTGTTTTTGGCTGCCAGACCCCCCACAAAGTACCAGGGACCTTCACTAGGATTGCATATCCCAGCACCCTGCAGACGGCCTCTCTTAGCTGGAAAGGTACGGAAATCTTCCTGAGCACGTGCGTAACAACCAAAGCAACCCCCTGCCATGGAGTCACTTCTGACTCATGGTGACCCTCATTGGCTTTCTGAGGCTGTAAATCTTTATGGATGTAGATCGCCCCATCTTCTGCAGAGCAGCTGGTGGGTTTGAACCACTTACCTTCTGGTTAGAAGCCAAATGCTTTACCCACTATGCCACCAGAGTTCTTCGGGCAAGCACATGGGCCCTGGCTTTGTGGCATCCTTGCATGTCTTCTTAGGTACTTTGAAAGCTCTGATGTTCGCTCATCTTGTCACAAGCACCCTGAGGCCACATGCCCAGAGCACCCGCACTGCTCGGCTCAGCAGGCGTGCCGTGTGTCAGTGTGCCAGGCCTGCCTCCAGGTGGCTGGCCAGGGAAGGTGCCCGAGAGGAAGTGACACTGGAATGGGCGCGGAGGGCCTTCCCCCAGGCTGACGAGAGGCAATGCCAGCTGATGTCACCTTGGGCAGCAAGCAGCACAGCCCTGTGGACACCTCTGGTGACTGGAGAGCTTCCCGTGTGGAGGTTAGTGTGGCACGTGCCAGGAGCAGGGCAGCCGAGGTGGGCACCAGGAAGGATGGCCTGGGGTTAGTGGATAGGGTGTTGGCGACCGCCTGCCACGCGGTCCCAGCCCCTGCCGAGTGCCTCTCCATCCCCAGGCCACACGGCTCTCTTGGGAGCATCGTTAATGCTTTGAGCTTGGTACATCCTTTCTCCTGAGCGCCATTTCAGCTAAAACGCCAGAACTGCACTCCGTTGGCTCCAGAAGGGGCTGACTGTGGGTTTGGAGGTTGGACCTGAGAGCAGTGCCACCCACCCCTCATGTCCCCATATGCATCGTCCAGGGCGTCCCGCTGTGTGTCTGCCTTCTTGGCTGACAGCACCAACTTGGCTCCTCCCTCTTTAGGTTCTGCCACTCACACTGGGACTGTCTGGAACCAGGGTGAGTCCGTGCCTCACCTAGGGAGCTGTGGGCATGGAACGGGTGGCTCTGGGAGGTGTGAGCTCATCCCTGAGCCTGACGGGCAGCACAGGGACTCAGGTGTGCAGACTTGAGGGGATTGGCTTGGACTGGAGGCCTTGACGGTTTCTCCTAGCACCAAAGTCCTCCGTGTCCTTGGATGCTGGGAAAGCCATGTCCCCCTGAGCCTGCCTCTTCTATAAAGTGGGTGTCCATGTACTCACTCGTTCCCCCAGCACTTGAGAGTCTGTTCTAGGTGCTGGGGACATGGATGAACTAGGGGCAGGGCCTTGCCTTCAGGGAGCCCGACGGTGCTCGGTGAGAGGAGATCGGCAGGCCTCGGTATCGCCACTGTGAGTGGACGGTGGGGTCTGCTGTGTCAGATGCCCACAGAGCTGGGGGACTGGACTTCAGGAGGCTAGGGGTGGCAAGGGTCAGGAGAGTTTGCCAGACGCAGGAGGTGCAGCTGTTGTGGTGAAGACTGTGTGGGGTGGCCTTGAGGAGGCAGTGTGGCTAGCAGGAGCAGGGACAGCCACGTGGAAGGTCTTTGGGGCTCACTGAAAGGGTCCAACCCCCTCTTCTCCTGGACTAGTGGGACAAAGGATAGCTCAGGGCACTGCGGAGAGCTGGGTGCTGGCTAAACATAGGGACACTGACATGGTGACAGATCAGAGAGTGGGAGCTGCCCAGCAGGGTGGGGGGCTGGAAGGGGACCGAGAGGCTGGAGCACCTGTGCTCTGTGGTGTCACTGGGGTGAGGAGGGTGGAGAGGCCCCTGCGGGGGGGGGGGGGGGGTTCCGGGGGGGGGGGCCCCCCCTGGAGGCTTGTAACTTCAGTCAGGCCACCTGTGCTCTATGCTAGCTCTGCACCCCGAGGGGTGTTGTTCCACACTCACGGCACGGTCGCCAAAGAGGAGGGGGGGCGCCCACAAAGGGCCGCTCTTTGCCACGCGGCCTCTCCCGCCCAGGCCTGCCCCCTGGCTGGGCTGGAGGGAAGTGGCTGGAGGGAGGAGGGTCCCTGAGTTGCTCAGCGCTCTCCGCCGTGAGGTGAGCTGCCCAGTATTGCTGGTGTGTGCGGGGAGCCTGGGATGCGCACGCCCAAGCACCAGCTGGGTCTCCCAGAAGGCCTTGAGGCGGCGGCGGCACCGGGTAGTGCTGGGCGAGATGGGCAGGAGGAGTTAGAAGAGGAGCATGTGCGGAGGGGTGGGGTCTCTGCCCCAGAGGGCATCCGGTGTAGCTCCTTTTGAACCATTGCGCAGTGTGACGATGGGGGTGGGAGGCCAGCTACGGGGAGGGGGCGGAGCCAAGCCGAGGGGTGGACGGCGTGGGGCGTGCACAGGGCGGGTCCAGGGTAAACCCAAGATAAAGACGGAGGCGAGGGGACAGCAGGTTCAGGAGAAGCACGTGGAGGCTCTTGTCCTCAGGAGGCAGCCGAGAGCCCGAGGCCCAGAGGAGGGGTCCGGAGCGAGGTGCGGTGGCAGGCGGTGACTTGACTGAGGACATCTGACTGCAGCCACGCGCCAGGTTATGCGTTCCCGCTGCAGCCGCCGGGCGGGTGGGGTGGGGGGGGCTTTCCCTGGCACCTGCTTCAGAGCCCACCCTGCGCCACCCCTGAGTAGAGTACATCCCACTCCCCAGCAGGCCCCAGTGTGTTCCCAGGGGTGACCCTCCCTGACGGGTGGCACGCCAGATTGACAGGGAGCGCATCACCCCAGGGGACAGACCAGAGTGGGATGTAGTCAGGGCCCCATACTGTGGGATACACCTCAAAGCAGCGTCCCCCCTTTCTGGCCATGTGGGGTGACACCAGGCACTGTTGACAGCTGGGTGCTGGCCGAGAGAATGCATGGTGACAGATCAGAAAACATGAGTACGAGGCAGGTTGAGGGGCCGAGAGCCTAGAGCGTCTGTCCTGTTCAGTGTCCCCCCGCACTGACAGCCTTGTGGGGCTGGGGCACTGGGGTGAGTAACGAGGGCTGACACAGTCAGCCCCCACTGCAGACAGAGCCAGCACTCCCAGCTTGAGAAGCTCCTGGGACCCCATTTTCCCTTGAGCTCTCCCCACCTGACTCGTGCTCCTGGGGCCTGGGATCTCATTCGGGGCTGGGCACGTGGGCGGGGTTTTCCCAAGCAGAGTAGGAGCTGAGGGCGGCCAGGCTCCTCCCTGGGCAGAGACATCCACTGTGGAGTCGCCACTCATAGAGCCCGACATTTATTGCTTCTTTGTCCACGTGGGTTACGGGGTTCAGAGGGAGGAGGGAAACTAACCAAAATAGCTGCTCGTCAGGGACTGCACTCTTTTGCTGGCTTGTCCCTGGCTTCTCCTGAGCTCAGACTGGACGCCGTGAGCTCTACCTCTTAACCTCCAGGCCCCCTGGGCCGAGAGGCTCACTGGCTGTGCGTCTCTGGGGGCTGCTGTGGCGGCTGGGGGGCCCCTTCCTCAGTTTCACCTGCTGAACGCTCACCCACAAAGCCCAGGTTCTCCGACTGCCTGGACACTGTCATAGACCCCTCCTCGGGGCTTGTCTTGAGCCCAGCGTCTTCTTGGGGCTCTAGCTTGGTGGCAGACTTTTTGTCAGACGTGGGCTCAGGGGTCCGGGGGCATTCAGTGCACCGGGAGCTCTCCCCCTCCTTGTTGATGGCCGTGGAGGACACGGCCTGGGCCTTGGGCTGCACCCAGCAATGGCCAAGGATGTCATCGATGTGCAGCCGCCGGTTGACGTCCGGCTGCAGCATGCGGTAGATGAGATCCTTGCACTCGCCCGTCAGGTGCTTGGAGCGTGGGAAGTTGACGCGGTGCTCCTTCTGGACACGCAGCATCTTCTTGATGTCGGAGTCGTCGTACGGCATGGAGCCACACACCATGATGTAGAGGATCACGCCCAGGCTCCAGATGTCGTACACCTTGGGCTGGTAGGGGATGCCCTGCAGCACCTCGGGGGCCGCGTAGGCCGCCGACCCGCAGAAGGTCTTGCTCAGAACGACGCGGCCACTGTCGTCACGCAGACAGCGCTTGGAGAAGCCAAAGTCGGACAGCTTGATGTTGAAGTCCTTGTCGAGGAGCAGGTTCTCGCACTTGAGGTCTCGGTGGACGATGTCCAGGTCGTGGCAGTACTTGACGGCCGAGGAGAGCTGGTGGAACTTCTTGCGGGCGTCGTCCTCGTGCAGGGCCCCCCGGGTTTTGATGAACTCGAGCAGGTCGCCCTGGACCCCGAGCTCCATGACGATGTAGACCTTGCCGTGAGAAGTCTCAAAGATCTCGTAGGTCTTGATGATGGAGCGGTGGTTGAGCATGGCCAGAATCTCAATTTCTCGGGGAAGGAATTTCTCCAGGAAGTCAGTGGGGGCTTTCTTGCGGTTGATGATCTTGACCGCCACGTTGAACTTGAGGCGCTCAGAGTAAGCAGACTTGACTTTGGCGTACGAGCCCTCCCCCAAATTTATCCCCATGATGTAGCCTCGTCGCTTGAGGACGGCAGCATCATCCATGGTGCTGGAATATCCGGTGCTGCCTTCTACATCCCTGTTGGACATGGGCCAGTACCGTCCTCATTTACACTGTGGCAGAGAGTCTGACCGGGCCTGCTGTCCCTGCCTCCTAGAGGCCAGGACTCCGGGCTGGAACGTTCACCATTGTCTCCCAGGTGACTTCAGTGGGTGAAGTCACAAAGGGGAAGTGCCCTGGGAACCCTGGAAGGCCGGGCAGCAGGCCGGAGTGGACAGAAGCCGGTGGAGAGTGGCCTCGTCTTAGCCTGGGATCAGAGGTAGGGGCTATGGGGACACGTGGGTCTGCCCACGTGTCCCCAGCCCAGAGCCAGGACTGCTTGCAAAACAGTGGGGTTGACGATTGCAAAGTAGGGCATCGCAGCAAACCCAGCTCGTATTAGTTAGGGTCCCCGCACGAAACCGAAGATACACTCAGATTAGGATCATCTGAAAGCCCAAACCAGGCGTACTGCCATTGAGTCCAGTCTGACTCATACTGACCCCCGTTGGGTCTCCAAGGCTATCGGTCTTCACAGAAGCAAAGCCCAAACCACACCCACTGCCATTGAGTCCATTCTGACTCATACTGACCTCCATTGAGTTTCCAAAGGTAGTAAATCTTTACAGAAATAGATTGCCTCATCTTCCTTCCGCGGAGCGCCTGGTGGGTTTGAACTACCAACCTCTGTGGTTAGCAGTCAAATGCCTTAGGCACTGTGCCACCAGAGCTCCTAGGATCCTCTGAGGAGGGCTTACTACAGGGACTGTTTACAAAGGCAGGGGCAGAGTAGGGAAACCACAGGGTGGTGTGGTACCCCGAGGCTGGTACTAGAGCTCTGGCCCACATGGAAAGAGGGAGGGGATGGGCACGGAGCCTGGGCTCCCAGGCAGAGAAGACTACCTGGAGAGGGGGCAGTGACCTTCAGTGGAGGGAGGCAAAGAGCCAGCCTACAGTGTCCCCACAGGAGGGAGCAGGAGAGGGATTCCTTGACCTCTCTTCCCTCCGTGTTCCTGCTAGGGGTCCCCCGTGGCCAGCCACCCAGGCCGCCTCCCAGCAAGCAGCAGGGTGGAGAGTATGGACGTGCATCAGGGAGTCCACTGGGCGCTGCTGCTGCTGCAGAAGCCAGGATTACTCTCCGCACCCAGTGTGGCTGGACTGCCACCCTGCGGAGCCGCTCGTTCCTCATTCGTGACAGTGGCTCTGTGGCCAACAACTGGCAGGAACTTCCACTCTTGGCTTGGGAGTCCCTTTCCAGGGCCTGCCCAGCCCTTACTCCTGGCTCCTAGAGCAGACCGATGCTGGGCCGAAGGCTGGGTCAGGATCCTGCTTCAGGCGCCAGCAGCTGTTCCTGGGCGTGTGCCTGGACAGTAGGTGGCATGGAGGAGCACTGGGCAGAGACGTGGTTTCCTTGGGCAGTGAGGCCCCTGTGCTCCAGCACATGCTGCGGGCCTCGCCGGGGTTCCACCTTGGCTTCATGTGCCCAGCGGCAGTGGGTGCCCCTCTCTCAGATGCCCCCAACCCTGTTGGGGCATGGGAGGGCTGCTGCTCGCCACAGGGGCTGGAGGTGTGGCTGGGGTGTGCACTGTCCCCGGCAGCCTTGACGCTTGCCCCTTTCTCCCCAGCACTGACACCCTCCGGCAGGCCTTTCATGTGTGGCCGGCGGTCCTCTATTGGATGTATTGCTTCTCCCCGGCTGAGGACTCCTCTTCGGTAACCTCAAAACTCTCAAACCTCACTGCTGTCGAGTCGGATCCGACTCATAGCGACCCCTCCTTGGGTTTCCGAGACGGTATCACTGCGGAAGTAGATTGCCCAACCTTGCTTCTGAGGAGTGGCTGGTGGGTTTGAACCGCCAGCCTTCTGGTGAGCAGTCAGATGTCTTAGGCGCTAGGCCACCAGAGCACCTAGTGCTGCTTTAACAGACATACCACAAATCGGGGGACTTGAACAATCAGGAGTTTGTTCTCTTAGAGTTTTAGAGGCTAGAAGTCCGAGTTCAAAATGCCAGGCTCTACTGGCTGGGTGAAAGTCCCTCAACCTTGGGCTTCAGCTCCGCCTCTTGCTCCTGGCCCACTGGAGCTGGTAGCCTCTCCTCATTCAGCTGCTGGCTGCTAAGGCTGACAAACCCAAGGTCAACAAATAAAATGGCACAGTTCCAATATCACCAAACCCCCTGGCAGACCATTGATTCAAGTTCCTTAAGAGGCCCGACATTGGCAGACAACATGGTTGCTGAACAACTTGGCTGCACTCAGGGCCCAAGGGTGCCAAAAGCTGCAGACCGTTCCCAAAGCTGCTGCGTATCTACCGGCAGCAGACTGCATCCCTCAGGCAGCTACTCAGCTGCTCGAGTAGATTGCACCTTGGAGTTGATGACAGTCTCACGTGGGGAATCACTCCATCCTGCTGCCCAGCCGCTCACAGGCCCAGCCAGGCTGACACACAACCCCAACTCCCCCAGTGCCCCATCGGTGGCTGCCTCCTCCCCGTCCCCTCGTGAACTGATGACTGTGAACCTCGCGTTAGCAGCATCGTTCCCAGGGCTGTTTGGCACTCATTCCTGCCCCGGTGGTTGCTGAAGGCTTTCCTCCAAGCCGGTGTGGCCTGTGGTGGCAGCAGCTGGCCTGGGCGCAGACAGGGCCCTTCTTCCAGAGGTGAGCTTGGCACCAGTCCCTTTGAGGTCTGGTCAGGCTCCTTGTTTTGTGTCAGTTCTTCCCTTAAGCTGTTTCCTCATCTCTCTGTGACGTCTGGGAGTCGTGTGTGCCTGTGAAGCCACCCTTTGCCTGTTGTTAGAGTCGACCCCCCTCCTCCACCCGCAGGACGGATAGGCCAGGTCCCTACAGCCTGCCTCCTCGCTCCGCAGCAGTTCAGCCTTGGAAAGACCACACTAGGGCTCAGCCAAGGAACCCTGGTAGTGCAGTGGTAAAGTGCTCAGCTTCTATCCAGAAGGCTGGCAGTTGGAACCCCCCAGCTGCTCCATGGAAGAAAGACATGGCAGCCTGCTCTGGTAAAGATTAAACCAAGACCACACCAGACCCATGGCTATCCAGTTGATCCCAATTCATAGCAGCCCTGTAACGACAGAGCAGAACTGCCCTATGGGATTTCCAAGGTTGTAATCTTTACCAAAGCAGGCTGTCTCCTCTTTTCTTGTAGAGCCGCTGCTGGGTTTGAACCTCCAACCTTTAGGTTGGCAGCTGAACACTTTAACCACTGTACCACCAGGGTTTACTGGATTTTGTTTGTTTGTTTGTTC